TAATAAAATAAATAAAATATATTTTAAAAAGGCCATGCCAGTGAAGTTAAAAAAAAAACCCAAGCAGTTGGCTGGCCAAATGAATCAATGTTAAACGTGCAATGTGTGAACAGGAATTTATAGAACAATTGAAATAATGATAAAATTGATATAACTGAGGTTCTTTTGGCATGTGTGATTATCCCCTAGGACTCCGGGGGGAGTCAGGCATCCAGATGAAAAAAAAAAACCTGTGGGGTTCCTATATCCTATTTGTACTTTTGTGCTAAATTTTTCTCTTCTAAGCAACAGGAACCCTAGCGAAAGTCACTTAGAAAATGTGTTGGAGGAATTAGGCTAAGTGAGAATAATCAGTGCATGGTCTAAAAAAAAAGAGTAAGAAGAGGAAGCAGTGGTCAGAATAGGTGTTGTTTGTTTCCGTTGTAAAAAGTTTCAGTGTCTGTCACTACTGTCTATTTTAACAATAATAACTGTATGACATCAAGTTGATTCTGATTATTGCAACCCTTTCCAGGCTTTTCCGGGTACAGAATACATAGAAGCAGTTTCCCATTCCTTTCTTTGGAGGGGGGGGACACCCTGGGTCTGTGCAACTTACCCAAGGCCACACTTGCTGGCTCTTTTCTCAAGAGGCACCGAGGGGAATCAAACTCCGAACCTCTGGCTCTGCAGCTAGACACCTAACTCACTGAGCTATCCAACCATCTCAATGTCTCTTCAGTATAAAAATGTATACACTTTCTTGTCTATATTGCTGCCTGACATACTCCGTAATATTCCATATAGAGGAAATACTCTGGCTTACTCTTCACAATATCACATGCCTCTGTAAAAAATATAACATTTATGCATAAACTGTTCCCTGGCTCTAACCTTGAGCTCTGGATTTTTAATGGCATTTTAATATACTTCCTTTCCTCCTCTGAATGCTGGTATAACAATGTACCTGGAGTACTAAAAATAATGAGCCCATCTGTGTCAAATTTTATAATTTGGAGCTTTGTTCCTTTCAAGGCTCTGAATCACAGAAACATGAAGACGTACTCATGACATAAGCAAAACTGGAAACACAGCTTCTGTGGTTATTAAATTTGTCACCTCTGGCACTTCACCAATCTCAAGACTTTGTTTATTAATTGCTTTGTAACTCTGCTTGCCAGACTGTCAGTTATGCTTAAATGCTTGATCTTGGCTCTTTCATACCTGTCATATTTTAAACGGCTCTACAGTTGAGGTGAACGCAAAGACACTGGGGTAAGCATGAGCACACAGCACCCTGGAGAAGATGCTTGGATCCCAGCAAGGTCCACTGCTGATGCCTGCCTGAGACTTTAAGATTGATATCTGTCTCTATGCTCTAAGTATCACCGAGGAGTTGAGACCAGCTACCATATTTTTCCTGCAATGCCTCTGGTGCCACCTCTTTCTGGTGCATTATGGGAATTAAAATGCAGCATTAACTTGCTGACTTTGTTGATTTTATTACTCTCCTCAGAGTACTCCTGCCAGCTAAACCTGAGAGGGCCCATAAGAGGCCCCTTTGCACACAGCTCCTTTTCAAACACTTGTGCATTCACAGCACTTCACAGTAATGGGCCATTTAAATGGCAGTTCACAAGAAGGGGGGGGGAAGAAAGCTACTTGTAACCATTACTTGAGCACACAATACTTCTAGGCACCCATAAGAATTGAGCAGCAACGGCATTGCCTGATGATTTATTCGAAACCATTACAATTATGTAGCCCTGTGAAAAATTAAATACCAAGTGTTGACTCACAATTCAATAGTTTATTAAATGGATCTGCTCTACATGAGACCAGCAAGAATGTCTAGTACAATGTCATTTATATTGCAATAATAACATGCTATTCAAAACTATGGAATTTTTAATGGATGTGGAAGCTGGTTTGAGAGTTCTCCCAGGCTGTTGCTTTTTAAAAAAAGGTACCACTGTTTTATTCCAAAATTCCATGCATACATTGCTAGTGAAATTGAAGCAAAAACGCTAACAACCACACCATCAGCTGATCAACTGCATCCATTAACTTTCTTTCAATATGATGATATACTACTTAAAAGTTGTCATCATTTCCACTAATGGGAGTAGAACTGCTAGAGCAAATGCATTTAAAGATGGCATCATCTTCAGAGTGGTCTGCTCTAGGAGGCCTACTCAAAACCATGCATGTTTTGCCATTGTAGAAATGCTTTTCCCAGTCTCCCCAGTTGCAACAGTTAAGCTTTGAAAGGGAATGGCGACATACTTGGGACTACATTTGTTCAAAATCTGCAGTCTATTTCACAACTGATCCAGCTTCCCCGAATGAAACATCAGCTCCTAATGATTCAGTGCCTTTCTACAGGAACTGTCTATTTTGGAGGAGTTGGTGATAGAACGTGTTGTATGTCAATATTGCCAACTAATTAACAAATAAATTTACACCCATAGACCTGGAAAACTGCCCATCTTTAATTCTGTGAAAATATTTGAAAGCAGCATAAAGTCAGCAAGAATCTAGTAAAGGCATGTGTTACACTCCTTAGATAATGTGAAGCTGGTGAATGTTGGGCGATGTGAATATTTTCATCTTTTCCAAGAAAAAAAAGTGTAGCTTTGTTGTTGGTTGCTTGCAGCGAAAAGTGCACATGTTCAGTTTACTGGCTTCCAAGAATGATTTGCTGATAACTCTGAAGATGAGGGTGTTTGCTACCAAAAACAAGTTGCAAAATGCACAGTTGCATATTATTTCACAATAACGTCTGTTTCAGGAGGAAGAACCTAAGAGCCCCCAGCACCATTCACTGGAAAGGAAGAACAGAGATCTTGAGTAATCTGTACATTTTCTTGTTTGCTTTCTGGGGGAGCTGAATGTCTCCTAACAGGTGAGAATAAAGCATTTAGTTCAACTCTTATTAGTTTTTTTTACTCACTACAGATTTCTACATAATTCTCTGCAATTTTATCTTGTACAGCTTTCACAGAATTGAAATCTGATAAAACCACTTCTTTGCTCTTCCCCTTCTTTCTATCATACTGAAGTAAATCTACTGTTTCTTCCCCTGCAGTGTATACTCAGTTGCTAAACCCTTTTCATATCTGTTACTCTTGTAAAACATGTTCCCTCTTTTTCCATCTTCCTTGGTCTCACATTATCTCCTACATTAACTACTCCTCATGGTTTTGTTTACTTTCTTCAGTGTCTCACCACCCTCAAACTTCCCCTTGTCTTGAATTCTGTTCTGCTCATTTCTACGATGTTGATCATATTTCTCGCCATATTAAATCTAAATGGCTACCAAATGTATAGTACTGTATCTTAATTCCTTTGCCCTCATCCATATTTCTGCATACCCCTGCTTCCAGTGACCATACAGGCTAAGGGAATTCAGAATGTGGCAATTCAAACACTAAAATATCCAAGGCTTGCCCTAAAGGTTCTGTATTATATATCTCTTGTAGAAAATGGGCTAAGGAAGCACTGGTTGTGAGACCTGCCTGCCTCTAATGCCACACACTCACCCCTTAGTAAGATGAGAGGAAGGCTTAGAGGGCTCCAAGGTCCATCAAACCTAGAGCAGGTCTGGGACATATGCAAAAGCTAGCAGTTTGGTTGCTACCTTGTTGTGTGTTTATGTGTATGAATCCGTCTCCTACAAACTTCTCCTTTCACTCCAAAAACATTTGTCTGAAAGAATTCAGAGAGAATTCCAACTCAGTTTTATTTTCTGGTCTAATTATGACTGGCATTTCATCCTGCAAACACTATGATCCCATCCAAATCAGGGAGAATTTATTCTGAGTAAATATGAGGAATTAAAAAAGCAGAAAACAAAAAGGAAGCCTCCTTAAGCAATTTATTTCAGTGTGAACTAGCATGGATTATAATCCACTTCTTCAGACATAGGGTTAACTAAGGCTCCACAAAACAGATGATATTTGGCCAACAGAAAACCTAAATTTTCATATTGCTGATTCTGAAAATGCAATAGTTTTAACACCATCAAGGAAAACAGAGCCAGATACTGTACTTCTTTCCAATGTTTAACTTTTAAGACTGTAGCAATTTACCACATTTCCGATACAGTCCCTCAACACTACAGTATGTTTTTGCAGTTTTATGCAAAATACCGTTAGCATATGCTCTGATTCAATGCTTTTAATTTGAAGTTGAATTGTTGGATGCTCAAGAAACACCAGGTCTTTTACAAATTAAATCTACTTGTCCCTCAGATAAAATAATCTAAAATGCATATACTTCTGCGTTGTTGTTGGTGTTCTATGTATATAGGAAGATCAAATGGCAGTGTTAAAAAAAATCAGACAAAAGACAAGTACAGTCCCAAAGAGTTCATGACTAACGTGACTACTTAATCAGATATCTGTAGACATCAGCTTTTGCTAAAATGCATTTTTCCGAAGCTGTGCTCTTGTTTCCTTTCTACTTTTCTGCCCAGGGGATGGGACGTAGCAGCTGATTTCTTCGTTCAGATGCTACAGTCCCCACCTCATGCATGTTCCCCTAGTTTACTTCTGCGTAAACAGTGGAAGACAGAGGAGGACCTGGCGTGCTCTGGCCCACGGGGGTCACGAAGAGTCGGACAAAATGACTAAACAACAAAAACACAGCTCGGCTCCCCATCCTTCCTAACCCGCGCCCAAGCCCTCAACAGAAGACGGAAGAAAACTCGCGAGACTTCTATATAAAAAGCCTCCTGTCCGAGAGTGACATCCGCCGACACCATCGGATGGAAAGGACCGTCCGAGTCAGGCTGATCATTGGTTCTTTACGAGGACGGCCTTAGCCAATTGGCAACCCGGAGAGGTGAAAAGAGGCGGAAGCTGAGAAGAGCGCAGCCGGCGAAGGGGTTGCGCCGCTTGCCATCAGTTGTTGCCCCGGGAGTGGAAGAGCGCGGGGTGGTGCAGTGGGGGGGCGCGAGCGCGGGCGCTGCCCGCGGGGTTGGAGCGCACCTGCCTCTCACTCTCTCTCTCTCGTCGCTGGCACGCGCGCAGCAGAGGAGCGCGCGGCTCCCCCTGCAGGAGCGGAGCGAAGGATAGAAGATCCCTTCCTCTTCAGGGAACCCAAGGTGAGCGTCTCTGGAGGGGAGGGCGAAGGAGCGCTCCGCTGCTGGCGGGCAATGCCGCTGCACCCGGGGGGGCCGGACGGGGAGGCGCCCTCCTCGCTGGGGCTCAGGAGGGGAATGTTGCCTCTGGAATAGATTTGAGGCGGCTTGGAGAAGTGCTGCCCTGTCGGTCCCTAATCCGGTCGTGGCGGGGGTGGTGTGGTGGTGGAAGGTGGCGAGCCTGCGGGAAGGGTCGCCTGGGGAAGGAAGGAGCACAGGATACACAGGCCGGCAAGCAAGCCAGCCAGCCAGCCGCCCTGCCTCCCGCTGCTTCTTGAGGCTCTGTCCTGCCCAAGTCGTTCGGTTGGGACCACTGAGGCGCGCGGGGGGGGGGAATGAGCGGACTGTGCAATGCGACAGCTCGGTAGGGAGCAATCTTTTGCTTCCTCTCTCCGTCGGTCTTCAGGGACGGGAAACCGGCGGCAGGAGGCAGAAAGTGTCAGCAGGACCGGTTGAGTGGGGAGACCTTCGCGGGGGTGGTCGGTTGGGTTGGGTTGGGAGGGCGCTGCTGGGTAGCTGCGTGTTATGTACGTGTGAAGCCGTGCACACGGGCAGACGCGCGGCGTTGTGGTGCCGCTGGCGCTGCCTCTGTGCCCAGGAGAGACCGGAGGGGCGCAGGCGAAGTGGCATTCAGGGGAGCTCTGAACGTGCCTTGTACCTTGACCTGTGCCGTGTGAGTCTGTTTTTTCTCGCTAAGGATCAGAAGTCTGCATCTTGTGACGCGAAAAACAAATTCGGTGTGGGAGCAATGTGGGGAAGAAAATAACCCGCCGTGTACTCCTCTCCCCTCACCCCTCAAAATAGGCGTAGGTGAGAGGGATGGATTTTTGCTGTACAGTATTATTAAACATAGTGTATGGCAGGGGAGAAGTGCACTATGTAGTACTGTAGATAGACAAGGGGCTGAAAAGATGCTGCTTAAGATATGTTCAATGTCCATATTTGGAGAATTTTTGTCCCACTTGGTCATCTGAAAGATCACGGAAGCTACTAACAAATATTTATTTAAACGATTTGTATTTCTGTACTTACTGTGCTTACAGAAACTGTTTTAAACTTCACAGCCTACCTGTGCTGCAGTTCTTCTGGGGAAATGCTACAGTTACCTACCTTACCTTTCTTATCCTGTTTTCCAATTCTCATTTTTTTTTCTTACAGTTGTTTACTCTGTAGTGTGTAAAGATTCCAAAACTGGTATTAATTTGTGTGTATGCAGTGGCCTGTGCATGGCAATGGATACAGTAGTTTGTCTCAGGGCACCAAACTACTAGCAACTTTTACTTTCTCCCATTACTGTTTTCTGTTGTAATTACAATTAAAGTCTGGCAGATGACTTGGTGACAGTAGTAGAAAGCGACCTAAAAAACCTGAATTCTATCTTTGGCCACCAATTCTTGTCCAGTGTGGTGAACAAAGTGTTTAAGCATAACTGGTGCTGTTATTTCCTGACAAAAGTTATATATTATTATCATTAGCATTTATGTTAATGCCCTGCATTTCCTCAGATGAGCTCAAGGCAGGAGAGATGGCTCCCTCTTTTATCCTTATGCTGATTATGTGAGGTAGGCCAGGCTGGGAGTCGATGATTGGCCCAAAGTCCATCCAAGGTCCATAATTGTGACTCAGTGGGAATGCCTGCTTTGACTGTTACATCAAATTAGCTCTCCTTTGGGCTCAGGAAAAAAATAATTCAGCCCCATCTGCCTTTGGTTAGTGTTTTACAGTCTTATCAGGCTGACCGTTTCTTATGGGGTCTACACAAGGGATCCAATATGGTTCAGCAAGGTGTGGGGGAAGAGTTGGCCTTGTCTTGGGTATTTGGGGGTTAGCCTCCGCTTGGGAGTCCTCCTGACTTAATTGGGGCAACTGTCAACTGTTGTGGTGATAGAGAAACATTAACTCAGAAACACTTGTGAAAGAGTTACAACTTTTCACATTCAAACCATGTCCTTTGTTATGGTTATTCTTGTGCTACATTTTCAGTACTACACTGTCCTTTCTGTGGGTACTCAATGTGTTCCAAATATGAGCAGTCTTCCTAAGCAGTAAGTCTTTTTGAACACATGGAGTGTGTGCGTATATTTGAGAACAAACATTTGTAGGTTATTGTTTCTTTTGTGAAATGCAGTGGATATGTGTACCTGTGTATCAGTGCTTTTATGAAAGATTATGTTATTTAAAAATCTGAGTGATGTTTTTGCTGGGAATGCGAAAAACAAGAGCTTATGATTGATTTAAAGTACGTGGAGGAAAACTTTCATGAGTGAAATAAGGTTTTAGTCAGTTATGCTTTCTGGTCTTCCCACTACACTGCTGCTCTCAAACTGATCATAATGATAAAAATAAAACTGACATAAACAGCGAGCTAGAATTCAAAAAAGATCTCTTAAACTTAGGTAAAGGTAAAGGTTCTCCTTGACATTTAGTCCAGTCTGTCTGACTCTAGGGCAAGGTGCTTATCCCCATTTCCAAGCCATAGAGCCAGCGTTTGTCCGAAGGCAGTTTCCATGGTCACGTGGCCAGAGCGACTAGACACAGAACGCTGTTACCTTCCCACTGAGGTGGTACCTATTTATCTACTCACATTTTTACATGCTTTCGAACTGCTAGGTTGGCAGGAGCTAGGACATGCGACAGGAGTTCACTCCATCACGTGGATTCGATCTTACGACTGTTGGTCTTCTGACCTTGCAGCACAGAGGCTTCTGTGGTTTAACCCCTAGTGCCACCACGTCCCTATCTCTTAAAATTAGAAGACCGAAATACTGTTACAGTTCTTTTTTTAAAGTGCTTTTAAAAACATGTATATTTTTATACACTGATAAAACTGAAACAGGTGTAGTTACTCTGCCAGAATGGTAGAAGTTCTGTCAGTTTTGAGAGCAGTTAAAAAAAATTGGTTTGTTCCAGAATTGTTTTTCTTGGACTTTTCTTTGGTGCTGTATCAGAGAGTGGGATAATGCTGTCACCTCTGCACTGTTTTACTACTCTGCTCTTGAAACCAGGATGGATTAAAATAATGATTTAAATTTAAAATTTTAAAAATCAAAAATTGGATTTTTAAAATGACTTAAAGGAAAAATCAATTTTAAAATTTAAACCGTGATTTAAACTTGTGATTTAAATCAATTTGATTTTTAAGAATCATTGATTTTTATCTACCATGCTTAAAACAATTCTGGACTCAATAGAGCTCATGAAAGTTCCTTTTTAAGGTTACTCCTGAAACCCATCCTCCCAGCACGACTCCTGACTATATTTTGAAGAGTTATAGTAAAAATAAAACATTCGTATTGCATTTATATCCTTCCTTTCCCCCAGTTAGCTCAAGATAGTGTGCATGCCTCCCTCCTCCTCACTACAGTGGCTGAAGTAGGTTAGGATGAGAAAAAGTGACAGACGTGAAGTTATCCAGTGATTTTCATAGCTGAGCTGAAACCCAAAGTTGAATCTCCAAGGTCTCAGTCCAGCAGTCTGATCACCACTCTGACTCTCAAATTAATTAAGCCTAAAATAACCGTTACAGCAGTCTATACTGGTCCTTTTGGAGTGGCTTGGTACTGTCCAGATAGGGTTGTTTGAGGTTATGGAGAGGAGCAATACTGTATGGCATTTGATGCTATCCTCACGCCCGCATGACATATTGACCTCAAGCAACCCTCCAGCTCCTTCTGCTGTCAGTTGAACATTTCCCCTGCTCCTCTGTGTAGGGTCAGAGGAAGTAAAATTATTTTTTGGCTGTGCTAGATCATTGCTGATGTACTGAATCACTTATATTAATATTTTAAAAAATTGCCTTGTGTGTAATGCTGCTTGAGAAACTGCCTGCAGCCACGGTTTCAATCAGCACTTCACTCAAAGACAAATGAAAAAAAGTGTGTTCTTTAAATTAAGCTAACTGATTCAGCACAACTTTGATAGGATAACTAATATAGCAGCAGAACCCCCCCCCCGAAATGGCTCACTTATTAAGCCACTTCACATAGCTTTGGTAGTTGCAAGGCTCGATTTTAGTCCATTCCCAGTGATAGCATGCTTTGAGAATGGTCTAAACTAGAGCACACCAACCCACACCAAAAAGCAGAAGCTTCTAACGGAGACTCAAAAAGGTGCAGGTTGGGGCATTCTTGGGGTAAAATATATATTTATCACAAACCTAATCTCACAATCTTGAAGAATTTTCATAATTTTGTTTTAATTCTATTTTTATAAAGTCAAGAAGCTACAATTGAAAATATGTTTGTATTATGCTGATTCTACTTTTGAGTAGCAGAATCCTAAGTGTATATGGAGAAGATTCTATCCTGGGCATAGAATTTGCTACTTTCAGAGTGTTTTTTAACTTGCTTCCACCGATGTAGAGGATTGACTTGCTATTCCATTTGTTTTTCCTCCTGGTCTCTATCTACCTTTTAAAACTTTTGCTCATAGAAGGTGTAGGACTATATATATATTAGGGTCCCAATCCACAAAGAAATGGGAAAACTTTGACCAAAATCCTATGGGATTGCTGACTGGTGATATGTCAGGGGATGTTTTAACCATGTGCACATTCCTGATTGCACTTTACATATACAGTGGTGCCTCACTTAGCGAGGTTAATCCGTTCCGGATTAACCCTTGCCCAGCGAAACATCGCTAAGTGAACTTAAAAAGCCCATAGGAACGTATTAAAACTGATTTAATACGTTCCTATGGGCTTAAAACTCACTGTTCTGCGAGGTTCCTCCATTGCGGCGGCCATTTTGGATGCCTCGTTAGCAAGGCAAAACAGCTGTCGCCATTTTGTTTTAGCGACGGCCATTTTGGAACCGCCGATCAGCTGTTCACTATGCTTTGATCGCGTCCGCGCGATCATAGCATAGCAAAAAAAGCCCATAGGGGCCATAGCTGAGTGAACGCAACCCCTCGCTATGCGAGGCACCACTGTATTATGTTGTAGAGAAGTGGTAGCTAGGGTTGCCACTGAAGGGAGCCATATCACTCAAGGCAACTATTGAAAGGCATTTTGGAGATTTTAAACAGGCTTCCAAGACTTTCTAACATTGTGTTGAAAGAGAGCGGGGAAAAAGCTCTAGGAGAATAACTTGAGTCAGAGCTGGATTATTGAGTCTGTTATTCTCATGTTCATATGCTACTGTTCATAAATACATGTCTTTACAGACAATAAATTCTGTTTGAGGATTGCAGATTTTTCCGATGGTATATTCTACACTCATGGTTCTTTGGGTCTCCAGATGTTCTTGGACTAAAATTCCCAGAGCTGTGCTGGCCACGATTTTTGTAAGCCAGAGACATCAAGGGACCCAGAGTTCTAGACTGACTGTCAGGGGAAATAGAAACTTAACTTAAATAACCTGTATGGAAGGATGTTTGAACCCCATGAATGAAGTCTGTAATCCAAGAACTGTTGGACTTTATTTGTAAAACTGTTTTTTTTAATTATACCAATATATTGTCTCATAATATAGAATTAGAATTTATTATCCATATGCCACAACCAGATCTTTGAGCTATAAAACATTTTAAATTTAATGCTATCATCACATAGCATTTTAAAGGTAATTCATTTTAACAGTAAAGTTTAAATGTTCTCTAAATTTTAAAATGCAATTCTTATTTAAAATTTTTATTTAAAAGTTATTTTCAAAAATTTTGGTTTTTATCTACTCTATGAAAAATAAGCTCTTTACTTTTAAAATTTACCCAGTGTACATAAAACAGCTACTTTTGGCTGCTTTAATAATATCTACATGCTGCATGCCACTAATCTGTGATGCAAGTCACTCACCTCCTATGTATTTTGTTCTTATCTCCGTACCCTGCTGGAATAGAGCATGAAGCACCACCACAAGGCATAGCAGGGTTCAGGAATTGAACTGTGTGGTAGTTCTCCTCCACTGTTTCAAGGGAACATATCTTGCAATTGTAGAACAACTGCTGCACTAGGAGTAAATTTATCCCTCGTTGTGTTATAGATGTAATGTAAGTATTTTTTTAAATGAGGAAAAAGGATTAAATTGGAAGTAATGGGTTATTTGTATGTACAGTAGTTACTTCCAAACTCTAAAATAGCTAAAATTATCATGCGGTATTTTTAAAAATACATTGATTAATTTAACAGTAAAATGTTGATTTGGCTGTTAAATTTATTTATTGGCCAGAAGCTTATTACTTACATATGTTGACCTTAAGCCGGACAGCATAAATCACAGAGATGAATTACTGTACTGCTGTTTAAGAGGCTAAGGCTTACACTCTTCATTGCACACCAGTTACGTTACTTGGCATGTGATGAACAACACTAGCCTCAACTTCTTAGCAGTTTGGCACTGCTGTTTATTCTCTTAAGGCTAGCATAGGTAAGTGCTCAGTAACAGGTTTCTGGCTGTTAAATTTCTGTGCTGCCTTTTGGGGCAAAACTAACATTCGTTGTAGTAATAAACTAGATTACAAAAAGCCACCGTGAAAACTGAAGATAGCAATAATAAGAAATGGGGGGGGGGAACGCAAAAACAACACCCAAATTAAAACCATAATTTTTCTTTCTTAAGGATTTCCCCACCCACAATATATTCTGACCCTTGTGTCTGTCAAAATTAGTCAGTTTTTCACATCACTTTATTCAGTTGGCTACATCAGCCTAATTTAGAGTGTGAAAAATGCAAATACCTAGATCCACTGTGAAGTTATAGCCAGGAAGTCAGGATTTCCCAGGTTAATTTGCTTAAGCCAAGCACACAGGAGCCAGCAGAGAGAGAAAGAGGCTTATTTGCATATTGTTAACTAGTTGAATCTTCTCTGTGCACTTAGTGCCTGGACCAGCTTTCATCTCCCCAACCCTCCCTCCCTCCCTCCCTTCCTAGGACAGCTGACTGACCAAAGAGGGGGAAAAAACAGCAGAGTGGGTAGAAAGATAGGAGGAAAATTGTGTTTCTTCAAAATCTGGATGCTCAGAGCAAAGCTACCATAAAACTTCTTCCCCTCTCTCTGATTCCTTGCTCCCCCCCCCTTTGCTCAGCAGTTGTCCCTAGTGCTAGGATGCTAAGGCGGCAAGCCTTTAGGGAAGGAAGGAAGAAATGGAAGGGGGAAAAAGGATGAAAGCAGACCCAGCCGCCAGCTATAGAGAGGAGAGGATTCAACTGACAGCCAGTTTCTCTGCCGCCCTGCCTCTTGCACTGCTGCGGTAGCTGGCTGGAATGGCTTTAAATACAATGACTGCAAACGACATCAGCTCAAGTGATCATGCCATGAGAACTGATGCAAATGCATCCAATTCCAAAAAAAAGTAGACACTCCTGTGGTGGAGTTAAAAACAATGGATTGGCAGGAGGGGGACTCTGGACTGATTCACATGGACTTTTACATAATGTAGTCAACAGAAAATAATGTGAATGAAGCTGTCCCTATATCAGAGCACTTCCCACATTATTTGCGAATGTAGTTGCACTTTTAGTTATGCTTAGGCCCCCACTGAAGAAAATGGGATAATATATGATCACATTTAGTTCCACTCGATTTTAGTGGGTGCAAAGGTGAACTAATTTCATCTGCATCTGAACCAGTTTTATTTTTCTGGGAGAAAAGTAATCTTCCCAAACTCTGAATTATCTAGTAAATTTCAAGTGAAAGTGAAGGGCAGCATTCTTCATAGCTCAGTTTCTTAGCCACTAGATTTCTCTGCTATGCTTTTAATTTTCTATGTTGGGGTTTGGTTTTCAGTTTACTTCTGTTCTACATTTTTAACCTCAAGTCAGCTTTTTCTCTTTTTTGTATAGGGGAAGCAGAACTACAGAATCATGGGTCATTTCGGTGAGAGCTTCTGAGAGAGACCAGAGGTCTGCGATAATATAGCCACTTTACTGGCACAAGAATGGTTTGGAAATGACATTGCAGCATTTTTCTGTATGACTGGCAAAGCAGTGCTAAGCTAGAATATACTGGCTTCAAGACGATAGACAACACTTAAATCCTAATCACTGGCCAGATATAAACCAGTGTGATGCGGAAATGAGATGAGGCTCCGAAATGGAACTGTGGCCACTGTGTTATTTTTCATCACCTCTTTCCTGAGTTTGTCTTGGTATACAGCATGGCAGAATGGGAAAGGTGAGTGATCTCTTTCCTGAAAAAACAACAACACACGTATAACTTGGTTTCTTGACTTGTTCAGATCAATGGAACAGTGAAGTGTGGTTTTAAAAAAATATTTAGACTAATGATGTAAGCAGCATGCTGACTGTTACTGTGTCGGACTGGAACACCATCCTTTTTTTTGCTGTGACTATTGCAAAATGCACAGTTAAAATAATGAACTATCTGGCCACATCTAGCTTCTTTTCTGTCTGTTAAGTGTAGGAAGATATAAGCTGAAGTAAATAGTCTCCCTGAGAAGGTGTAGCCTGAGATTTTCTGTGTGTATGGAAAAGGTTGCCCAAACATGGTCAAAGGTGGAAGTTTCCCAGCTTTCCTATTCTGTGAGAATATAATAGAAAGAAGCAGTCTGTTTGATTGGTGTTCAGGAAGTTCTTTTAACCACATAAGATGAAGATTCCACTTTACCTCTCTACAATATTTCTTTGCTTGCAGTCATTGAGATCTGTCCCTGTACAGTTGAGGCTATTGGTTCTCTAAGATTAAAAACCAGAACAAAACAAAGTAATTATGATTTTGAGTCTCCCAGCATGAGCCGCAATAATTGTTCCGAGAATGTAGGGCGGCGATGGCAAACCTGTGGCATGCGTGCCACAGCTGGCACGCGGAGCCCTTTCTGCTGGCACGTGAGCCATAAGTGGCCAGATCGCTACCCCCCCCCCCCCACACAGCCAAACCTGAGAAGGCAGCTGCAGCCACACTTCAGCAGGCTGATCCAGAGCAGTTGGCACTGGCGGTGGATCTGGAGTAGGGTCTCGAGGCACCTCCGTGCCCGGGATTCCCTCTTCCACTGTCACTTCTGCTTCCGCCGCCACCACTTCCCATTCTGCCACTGCCACGCCACCTGCTGGTTTTTTTCTTTTCAGTTCAGGCACATGAGCCCAAAAAGGTTTGCCACCACTGATGTAGGGGATCAGGATCTTGACTTGTCTTCTTCTTTTCTTAAACTGATGGTTACAGGCATACTGGATACTTCTGGGGGAAAGTAGAATGAAATCTCTCTCTCTCTCTCTCTCTCTCTCTCTCTCTCTCTCTGTGTGTGTGTGTGTGTGTGTATGTGTGTGTGCTCATAACCATATCTTGAGAACCTGAAAATATATTTTCTATATTTTGCGAAGAAACTACTTGTTTTGTTACTCAGAGATACATTTTTAAAAGGTGTTGGCCATTTTGCCTTAAATTAAGTCTACTCATAAAGGTTACTTGTGTCCAAATAAATCACCTTTTGTAGGAAAGGTGTTGTTAGGACTGATTACTGTGGATTAGCACTAATAACAGCATCTTATTTATTTGTTTTGCTTTTCCCTATAATAATGTTAACAGCTGTGGTCATGTCAGCCCCTTGTACTGTTGACAAAATAAATCCTCTCTGCAGTCTTATCTTTAGTAGAGTTCACGTGACCTCGCCCTATAGTAAGTAAGCACATAAAAAGCAAGGTTATAAAAGCCCAAATTCACTGCTGTTACCAAGCATTTCTTTGTTATTCTTTGGATAAATTATATTTGTACAATACATCTCTCTGGAAATGGCTTGTGTTTTTCTGATACCAGTAGGATATCTTCAAATATGAAAGCAAAGACTATAATATACCGTAATATTCTTAATATTGATATACTGTAATAAGGATGTGTTGGCAACTTGCTATTTCTATCCTTGAAAACCTGGCCAAAAATGGCAAAGCTAGAATTCTGTATGACCTATTCTTGACCATTGTAAGGAAGGAAAGCATACCCTTTGGGGGGGGGAAGTACAGTGGAGAGAAATTATCCTGACCCTAATGTATTTTTCCCTTTTACTCTTGGAAAGAAAATATGAACCTACAGAACAGATCCCTCAGTTATTTCAACATAATGTTAAAATAAAGAGCACTTGGAAAGTAAAGGACAGAAATCCTCTCACACTATGAGAAGTACTATACTTCTATATTATATGGTTCTATAGATGTAGATACAGTGGATAGCTCAATAGGTTAGCTATCTGGCTGTAGGGCCAGAGGTTGGGAGTTCAATTCCCTACTGTTCCTCCTATGAGTAGAGCCAGCCTGTGTGGCCTTGAGCTAACTGCACAGTCTCGGAGTGCCCCCAGAAGAAGGGAAAGGTAAACCATCCCTTAGGTATTCTCTGCTTGGAAAACTCTGGAAAAGGCTCGCCATAAGTCAGAATTGACTATTAGTATTGTAGATGTAGGTAAACAAAAACAATTTATCATTAATTTTTCAATTAGAACGTTTGTAATAGTTTGGCAGGTTGCCTCATCTAGTTCTGTGGCTTCTTTGACTTCTGTCTTCATGTCAGAATATTTTATTTTTTTGGCAAACGTGCCATCCTCAGAAGATCTGCTTTGGAGTGATTTGATTTAAATTGGGAGGGGATAATGTGTGGAACCTCCCACCCCCATACTTCCCAAGAAAAATTTTACATTGGTGGGGATATTGACGTCTTCTCCTCTCCTCAAACTCTTGTGATCTTTATGGGGAATGGAGGCATGTTTGGAAGACTCCTTTCAAACTCTCTATTTTTTTTTTAAATTTGGGGCCACTCAGAAGTGCAAGGGGTCTGTTTTTGGGACTCCCCTCCTTTTTTGGAAGCAAATATTTTGTTGGAGGTGTTATTGCTTGAGCATGTAGTCCTTGGACCCCTAGAGGTTGCCCACTTTTATCTCAACAAATGTGAGTGCCCTGGAGCTGAATGGACAGCTTGTGATTCAGTAAACCATATCTAGACCACCAGCCATCTATTGTAGCCTTCCAGATGGCAGTCTGTTTTTTTATTGCAGATACAGTCAGCAAATTTAGACCATTAATGGAGTCCTTCTGTGCCTGTACAGTACTTTGGGACTGGTGGACTGTGTTTAGTTTTTTGGATCAGAAAGCTTTACATAGCTGCTGCAGACCTGGGTAGGCATCATCCTGCTTTCGTGAATCCCGCTGCTTCATGTTTTCTGCTGGGTAGACTTGGGGGCTGTGCCTGTGTTAAGCATTTTGTTATGAGGGGCCTTTAGGTTATTGTTGGGATGGGGAAAGTGTCCTCCCCCTAAGATATTTTTGGACAAAATTGCTATTGTTCCTCACCACTGGTTACATTGACTAGGGCTGTTTGGAGTTTGGAAAGCCAAATTTTCCCCACCTTCGAGATAGGGTCTGTCATGCCGTTGTTTGGTGCCTGACCAGTCCCAGAGACTGAGTTACCCAGGACAAGATTTTGTCTGAGTCTAGGCCAAAAAGGTTCACAGTGGGGAGCAGGAATTAAAGCTACTGTACCTTCTCTAATCTAATATCCTCCAGATGCGTTCAGTTTATAACCCAAGCACATATGTAGTACAGATGTGTTATAGCTGTCCAAAATATTTGGAAAGTGTCCACATTGGGAAAGGCTGGTCGGTCTGTCATGTCTGGTGAAAGTGTGTTTTTGACTACCACTGCTGACTCACTTTAAATCTTGGAGTGGGGCATGTCTCAAAATAATAGCACAGACTTTACATTCGGAAAGCCTCAAATTCCCTCTGGGCCTGTCCACACTGGGTACTTGTTTGGTTTTTCTTGCACTCAGCAAAGTAAACAGGGTCAAAGTGGAACAAAAGAGTTGCTTTCTGGTGCGGTGGCTGTTGTATATCACGGAGCCTCATAGTGCAGGTAGCTGGCTCAAGGTTGACTCAGGCTTCCATCTTTCTGAGATTGTTAAATTGAGTATCTAGCTCACTGGAGGCAGGCAATACATAAGTAAATTGTTAACCACACAAATAATTCTTTATGTGCTATAGGGCAGTATATAAGCAGCAGACATTGCTTTGCTTTTACTACCAGAGTGTTTGTTGGTTGAATCAAAGAAGAAGAGAAGGAAGGAGGGAGGGAAGTAGACAAAGAGAGAGGGCGAACACATATGGACAAGTCGGTCCCAGAACAACCCAGTGTATCCCATCACATTCAGCATAAATACATATGCTCCCCCTGTGCATATGCAAATACTGAGATTAACGAACAAATCTTCAATAGAGAATACTGACAAAACCCAGAACAATTTCAGGATAACAGGAGACAACTGTCTGACATTTCCAGTTTGAGGAAAAGGTTTAGTGTAGAAAAAGGTTCGAAGACACAAATTTTGGGAAAGGCACTGACTTGTCACATAAAGCATTGGATATCTAAGTTCACAAAGGGAGTGCTGGTTCATAAATCGGTGTGTATTTTCCCCTTTGTGATTTGACATTTTTGAATGTACCTCAAAACATGGTTGATTTCTGTTTTTAAGCTGCTGTCTGTTTCATATTTAATGGTTTTGATTGGTGCTGAATTTAAAAAAAAAAATCATTTCAGAATTGTATTTTAAGGCTGCTGTTTTAGCTGGGTGTGTGTGTCAGGCCTGTGTTTTTATCTTGAAAACTGTCTTGAAGGGTCTTTACCTTTAAAAGCATTATAATAAAATCTTTTGGACAAATTAATTTATTATGTTTACCATTATTCTTCTTGTGCTGTGTAAATTATGTCATCGCACCTTGGGATTACCGTATTTCTCCTTGAGTGATATGGAAATTTCCCCCCCAAGTAGTTATGTGCAGAAAGTGGTGGGGGAAAAAAGGCTTTTGGTAGAAACATGTGGGTTGCATCACAGATTGGCAGTTGATCTTTATTGGGCATATGCTGAGTATCTCATCTGTTCTGGAACAGTTGGTCAGTCTTGCAGTCCACTGAACCTGAACATCAGCCGAATGGCTGGGTTTTGCTGGGTATTATGCTTGCTTAACTGGGTGATGGAAGTGTGCCAAGTACTCTGAAAAGTAGAGGCATGCTTCATAATACGACGTAGTAGTTTGTGTAGATATTTTTCTTACAAGAATCAAAAGAAACATTTTTGTTTGGTGCAAAATCAGCCCTTTGTTATTTCTGACCTGCCATACCAGTAAGCAGGGAATAGAATCTGCTATGTGTGTCCTACGTTCTCTATTATTCCCCCCCCCC